GATATGACAAACATTTCATTAGGAGTTTCTAACCATGGGTCTTATGAGGAGAAACAATGTGAGGGGGGCAAAGAGGGAGAAATTGATCTGCACTGACAAAATCAAAGGGCCAGTCCCCTTCTGTTAAGCAAAACTTACAGATAAAAGGTACACAGGGAAAAAGCAAATAATAATAATAAAATATAGATGTATAAGCTTATAGATAATAATCTTTTTTTTTTTTTACTTGTTAACAGTAGCTAGGCCTTGGAGACATAAAAGTTACCATTAGTGATTATAAATATGGATTTGATTTGATTTAGTCTGAAATCTGTCCTGAAGAAAATCAGAATGTGGTCTGTTCTCCTATCAGGACAATTATGGTAAATAAGAACTTAATATAAAAGACATTTGCTATCTGGCATTAAGAAATTTATTAGCTGTGTGACCCCAAGCAAGTTACCTTATGTCTGTTTACCTCAGTTGACTACTCTGTGAGGGGATAATAATAGCCCCCACCTCGCAGGGTTGTTGGGGGAATCACATTATTATAAAGTGCTATATTAATGTTAACTGTTTTTATTATTTCTTTAATTAGATATAATTGGTTCATACTTGATAATTTTATATAGGTTTTTAGATGTGATCAGTATACAATGCCAATGGTGATGAGACGAATGATTTTCTGTGTAATGTAATTTAGAGACACGTTCACCTGAATTGAAGCCACCTGACCGGTAACGGGTTTTGTTTCAAGTTCAAATACTTAATATTGTTTATGGTATTGTTATATTTATATATTTTCTTATATTGTGAAATTTGGTAAATGATTATATCAGATATACTGTTAGAAAGGCAACTTCTTATATTTTAGAATAGATTCTAGGTATTGCTAGACTAAGAATTGTACTGTTAAAAGAGAGAAGAAAAAGTGAAAATTGTTGGGTCGTCTTATCAGCTTCGCTGATCACATGATGTGGTTTAGAGGTTCAGGGGTGCTGGGACCCCAAAATCACAACACGCAGGTCCTGCCCAAAAGAATTCAACCCAAGCCTTCTTTCAGCCAAAGACAAGGTTTATTAGAATATCCATCATATTGGGCAGACTCTTAAGGAGTAAGCAGTGGCTAGATTATAAGAATCTAAACAGATTTTAAGAATCTAAGCATCTTAATGGAGACAAGATGGACCTTATATACAGAAAGACTGTGGGAGGGATCTAGGAGTGGCCAAGTAGTCTATGAGGTAATAGAATTCCAGGGACCTGGAACACAAGGCCAAGGGAGAATGGAGAAATGGCCTGGGGCCATAGGGAGGTCCACAATGAAAGGCCAGTTGCTAGGATTATAGCCTCAGGGGATCGCCAGAGATTTGGCCATGTGGGAAAGTCCAGGGTCTTTCCTTTCTGGGGCCCAGATCCCAACCCCATCACACATATTGTATTATTCTGAAGTACTGTATTTAAGAACTTATAAACTTCCAGGTTTGCCTATACTTAACAGGAAGTTTCATCAAAATTATTTGGCTATCACTTATGAAAATTTCAAGATTGTTAACTAAGTTATTTGGAGGTTTACAGCAATTGGCCAATATTGTTTTTCTAGGGGTTTGAGTAAACTATCACATATTCACTATCTATGTGGGATTCCAGAATATAATTATTTTCTTGATTTCTAGTGATATATTTTATGCCAGGATGAGTTTATACTTGAAGAGAAGACAAAAGGAAGAAAATGCTATTGAGGAAAATTTTAAAGGCTTGGTAAACTTTGTTATTCTGATAAGGCTAATTTAATTGGGTATATTTTTGGCATTGCTTCAATGAGAAAACCTGAATCTCCTTCCCAATGCAAACACTTTTTGACTAGAGGGGGGTGGTAATTAGGAATTTTTGGTAATTAGAAATTTGTTTTGTTTTTATGGTACTTTTGGGACTTATGATACTTAAAGACATCTTATACCAACTTAGTTTTGATAAATTCCAATTTTAAGGATTTATTTTTGCTTTATGGTTGAATAAAAGATATCTACATGTTTAGAGGTTTCCAACTAATTTATTTAATTATTCTAACTATTGCCTTTTCACATCAGGGTAAATTTTAAGCTGTTTTTAAGAAAGAGAAATATGAGGAAGGAATATTTAAGTAAAAAATCTTTTGTGTAAATTTTTAAGTAAAAAAAACTTTTTGTGATTTTTAAAAAGGCTGATAAATTTTATTTGTAAGCTAACTTATTGCAACAATTTGATGATATTGATAATAATTGTGTCCAGTCCTACTGTGTTAGTGAGATTTTACTGTTTGAGGAGAAAACCTTTTTTGGGACCTTGAATATTCTTTTTGAGTTCCATTTTTAGGTTTGTTGCGTCCTTACGCCAACTTAAATGAGTACCTTAAGAAAAACATCAGTAGTCAGCAGCTCAATGGGAGTGACATCTGAGATCTAAGGTTAGTGAATATCTGCCCCTGGGAATAAGATAAAGAGTTTACCTTGGAAAGGCTAAGGTTGGACTCTTCTTAATTCATTTTCCCATACAAGGTATCTGTCTACCTGGCTCCATATATGCTAGGCTTATCGTGATGTAGGCCTTGAGGACCAGTTTGATGCTGTTACAACCATGTCCCTGCTTCTAACTCACAGCAAATTTCTATTATCCAGGTAGGCAAACAGTGGAAGGTTGCCATTGCAATACTGGATCTATTAGTTATTAGATGAATACTAAAGCATCTGAATTACTGTAATAAGCTGCAAGTGGGAAAGATTTTGCTGTTTTGATCTGAATTTCTAGTTGTTCCACGGCCTAATCAAGAGTTAAACTAATGCTTGAACTTGTCATATGTATAAGATTCAGTTCCTGAAGTATTTTATTCTTTCAGAATAATAGGAGTATAATTAGACAAAGGTAGAGAAGCTAGTGAAACAAAGATATGAATCTATTATGTTGTAAGATTAAAGTCAGGAACTTCTTTTGGTTATGTTTTAAGGAACTGACTTAATTTTAACTTCAGTACAGTCAGTTATGTTAGTGGACACTAGTGACTTATGAGTTATCTTGTGTTACTTTAACAAGAAATCTGATATTACTTATGTTTGTTATTTAATCTGAGATTAGAATCTGTGTGTACAGCATGCCCTGAAATGGACTCAAACCACTTAACACTGACCTTAAAGATATTCCTATTGTTTAAAGGGATTTTGAGAGTGGTAATCTAAATGTTTATGTCCATTTGAACATGGTTAGTAACTGAACATGTTTTACTATAGACAATAGTTCATATAAGCTGTTCTTTGTATACAATTTGGGATTATTATATTTACACATCACATTTCAAGTCTTTTCTTGTTTGTTATTAAGCATCTTAAAGCAAAATCACTTGTGTAATGTTGAACCTAAGGATGAAAAAGCATCTACTTAACATAAGTACTAGCTATATCAACATAAATTTTAATTTTTTCATGATGAATCTTTTATTGTTACCAAGGTGAGATTATAGTCAATACTTGTTATCAAGGAAATGTGATCCTTGAGAGCTGAATCTACCCGAAGCTATAGTTATTTGAACTTGTTCTTTAAGACCTTATGGGACTGAAGTGATATTGTTCTGAGTTTCAGTCCAGGTATGATCACCAAGAAATACTATCAAGCCAATTAATCCATGATGCCAGTAAACCTACGGGGCTCACATCTATGAACTGTAGGTGGTATTCTCATGGGAAAGGTTGGGAGAACGACTCTTGGCATAACTCAATTTCACCAGTATGACATTATGTATGTTATACCATACACATTGTTATGTAATATAGAAATAACAAACACATGTAAATCCATGTTAATTATTTTGTATCATATAAGATGCATGTACATATGTTGTGTATCATACAATATACACATATATCCAAAAGTCATTTCCTAATAGATTAGTGTTCAAAGGATATGAACAAATAGTTCTCAAAATAATTTCAAACTATTAAAAACTATATAAAAGAATGCTTCAAATCTCTAATAACAAGAGAAATACACTCAAAACAATCCTGAGATTTCACTTCATATCCTACAAATGAGCAAAGATGACAGAATGGAATAGTCAATGCTAAGAGAGTTGTAGGCCAGTAGGCACACTAGTGACTTCTTGGAGGAATTATGAATCAGTATCAGTGAATCATTTTGGAAAATAATTTGGAATAATGCAAATAAAGTGACTTTGACCCAGTGATTCTGTTACAAGAAAGTCATCAGTGAGAAGAAAGTCCTGATATACACCAAAATACTTATAGCAGCCTTTTTTTGTGATTGTAAAGAATTGAAAACAAAACAGACGTCCATAGATTTGGAGAATGGCTTAATAAATTGTAGTACATTTTTAAAAAATATTTGCTCAAGAAACACAAATACAATGAATACAGAGAAATATGGAAAGATTAAAGTGAACTCATTCAGAGTAAAGTAACTAAAACCAAGAAAACAATATACACAATCAAGACAATAATAGAAATGGAAAAAACAACTACAAAATAATCATAAACAAATGTTGCAAAATTATAAAGAATAAGCGTGGCTCCAAAAAAGAGATATGAGAAAACATCTCCTAACCTAGTCCTTCACAGAGTTAGAGGTCCATGAGTGTGGCTCATTGCACATAATTTCAGAATTTTTCAATATACTGATCAGTTAGCTGATTTTTCCCCTTGTTTTTGATTCTTCTCTTTAAAAAAAACTTTTTGTCATATAGGATAACTTTCTGGGAAGGGAAAGGAAAGGAATACTGGGAAAAATTATGGTAATGTAAAAAAATGACATCAATAAAAACTGATTTTTTAAAATCAATAACAAGAACTAACAAAGTCAGAGAACACATCTTTCCACTATCACTGACATATTTCAAACTACTTCACAAGCTTAACAAGATATTCCATTTCTTTTGCACAAACCAGGAATTCCCTCCCCCTTTTGCACAAAGTTAAAAGTTCTGTTAACTCAAAGGTTTGACTATATTGAAGTGTATTATCCTTTGGTATACTCACAAAGCGAACTCCTCATCCCAAGTGAAATTTGTGGTGCCCTTAGTTACAGAGCTGAAGAACTTCTGGAGAGGGTGATTTAGCTGAGTCACAAACACACAGTTAAGGCTACCTGCAACAGAAAGAGTGACATCTTACGATTTCCACAAAATGTCCCAAGCATAGTTCAGTTACAAAACCCAAGAAATGAGGAAAGACAAAATGAATGGCAAGACTGTGTTTTCTATACTAGAAATTTGACCTGTGTCCTCTAAAGGTGATACACTATCTGGATGAGACGAGTCATCAAGTATATGGCACCTCCTGGGAGACAGAGCCAAGATGGCAGAATGAAAGCAGTGATCTGCTTCAGCTCTCCCCTTTGGGGAGATTCCAAATACCTGTAAAAAATGGCTCTAAACAAATTCTAGAGCAGCAGAACCCATAAAAAGAGTGAAACAAACTTCTAGCCCAAGACAACCTGGATGATTGATTGGGAAGGTCTATTGTGCTGGGCTGGGAAAGGAATACAGTTCAGCGTGGGCACGCAGGCAAAGACCAGGCCTCAGTGAACTTAGAGCAGGCTTCAGGGGACTGAATCACTAGCAGCTATGGCAGTTTCCAGACTTCTCAACCTACAAATGCCAAAGACAACTTAGAAGGTCAGTAGGAAAAGTCTGTGACCCTGGTGAGAGAGAAGTTAGATCCCAGCCCCAGTCCCGGCACAACCCTGGGGTGGTGGCTGCTTCCGGAGCTTGAACCACAGACAGAGGTGGGATCGAGTAGCTGATCAGAGGGGGATTACAAGGATCTCTTTGCTGGCACTGAGGCAGGAATCTTTTGCTTTGCCCTGCTTGGATCTGGGTCACGGTTCTAGGTGGTGGTCCTGGGGCAAGGAGGAGCGCTGGCCTGGTGGAGCTTGTAGTGGCGGTGGAGATGGAATCCTCCTCACAGTTCCAAGGCAGAAAAGAGTGCTTGCGGTCACTCATAGACCACAGTACAGGCCAGGAAAGGAATAAACACCTTGCCCCTTATCATACCACCTTGGAAGAACTGAAAATTTACAGGTCTCTAGAAGTATCTCTGAAAACAGCTTCAGAAAACCCCCAAAGCTTGGGACAGTACATTCTAGACACTGGAAGCAGACCCTTACCTTAACAAAGAGTTTATAACTTAAATAATTGGTTGCAAATATGAACAAATTGCGCAAAAAAAAAGTCAGACCATAGAATCTTTCTTTGGTGACAAAGAAGGTCAAAACATACAACCAGAAGAAGACAACAAAGTCAAAGCTCCTATATCCAAAGCCTCCAAGAAAAATATGAATCAATCCCAGGCCATGGAAGACCTCAAAAAAGATTTTGAGAAGCAAGTAAGAGAAGTAGAGGAAAAATTGTGAAGAGAAATGAGAGTGATGCAAGAAAATCATGAAAAACAAGTCAACAGCTTGCTAAAAGAGACCCAAAAAAATACTGAAGAAAATAATACCTTAAGAAATAGCTTAACCCAAATGGCAAAAGAAGTCCAAAAAGCCAATGAGGACAAGAATGCCTTCAAAAGCAGAATTGGCCACATGGAAAAGAAAGTCCAAAAACTCATTGAAGAAAATACTTACTTAAAAATTACAATGGAGCAAATGGAAGCTAGTGACTTTATGAGAAATCAAGACAGTGTAAAACAAAACCAAAAGAATGAAGAAATAGAAGACAATGTGAAATATTTCATTGGACAAACAATTGACCTGGAAAATAGATAGAGGAGAGGGAATTTTAAAATTATTGAACTATCTGAAAGTCATCATCAAAAAAAGAGCCTAGACATCATCTTTCAAGAAATTATCAAGGAAAACTGCCCTGATATTCTAGAACCAGATGGAAAAATAGAAATGGAAAGAATTCACTAATCGCCTCCTAAAAGAGATCCCCAAAGGAAAACAACTAAGAATATTGTAGCCAAATTCCAGAGTTCCTAGGTCAAGGAGAAAATATTGCAAGCAGCCAGAAAGAAACAATTCAAGTATTGCTGGAAACACAATCATGATAACACAAGATTTAGCAGCTTCTACACTAAGGGACTGAAGGGCTTGGAATATAATATTCCAGAGGTCAAAGGAGATAGGATTACAACCAAGAATCACCTACCCAGAAAAACTGAGTATAATCCTTCAGGAGAAAAAATGGACATTCAGTGAAATAGAGAACTTTCAAACATTCTTAACGAAAAAACCAGAGCTGAATAGAAAATTTGACTTTCAAATACAAGATTCAAGAGAAGTATGAAGAGGTAAACAGAAGAGAAATCACAAGGGACTTATTAAGGCTGAACTGTTTACATTCCTACATGGAAAGATGATATTTGTAACTCATGAGAACTTTGTCAGTATTAGGGTAGTTGGAGTGAAAAAAATTATATGTATGTATATATATATATATAGATAGATAGATAGGGAGAGACAGAGAGGGGGCACAGGATGAGTTCAAGATGAAGGGGTGATATCTGGAGAATAAAATTAAGAGGTGAGAGGATTATGCTGGGAGAAGGAGAAAGGGAGAGGTAGAATGGGGTTGACTATCTTACATAAAACAGGAAAGAAAAGGCTTTTACAGTAGGGGGACAATGGGGGAAGATGAGAGGAAATAAGTGAATCTTATTCTCATTTGGATTTGGCTTAAGGAGGGAATAACATACACTCTCAATTGGATGTGGAATGGAAATTTATCCTACCCCACAGGAAAATAGAGGGGAAGGGGATAAGAGAGCAGGGCGATAATAAAGGGGAATGCAGATTGGGGGAGGGGGTAATCAGAATCAAACACCTCTGAGGAGGGACAGGGTCAAAAGAGAGAATAGGGGCAGGATAGGATGAAGGGAAATATAGTTAGTATTTCACAACATGACTACTATGGAAGTGTTTTGCATGACTACACATGTATAACCTGTATCAAGTTGCTTGCCTTCTCAATGAGGGTGGGTGGGGAGGGAGGAAGGGAGAAAATTTGGAATGCAAAGTTTTAAAAACAAATGTTAAAAATTGTTTTCACATGCAACTGGGAAATAAGATATACAGGCAATGGGGTATAGAAATCTATCCTGCCCTACAGGAAAACAGAAGGGGAAGGGGATAAGAGAAGGGAGTGGGGAGATGGAAGGGAGGGCAGATTAGGAGAAGGGGTTTTCAGAATGCATGCTGTCTTGGGGTGGGGGGAAGGGTGAGATGGGGAGAAAATTTGGAACTCAAAATCTTGTGGAAGTGAATGTTGAAAACTAAAAATAAATAAATTAACAAATATTTCACTGCAAAAAAAAGAAAGAAAGAAAGAAAAAACACCTCCTTAAAATGCCATGTAATTCAAGCTTTTAAATTCTGCGTGTCCATAACTGTACTTCTCATTTAAGCAGCTTTCCCTATTGAGAAATTTTTAGTTGTTGAATACTTAAATTCCTGAGAACATTTTTACTTTCCCATTTTTCTGTGGAATAATAAAAATAATACCTATATATGCATATGTATATGTACATAGATATAGATATGTAGATAAATAGATAGATAGATGATAGATAGATAGATAGATAAAAATCATGTTCTCCATCTGAGAACAAATTAAGTGTTGAAATATCTTTTCCTTGTATTAAGTTAGTAGTTTAAAATTTGTAAAACCAAAGATTTACCATACAAAGATTCTACTTTTCAAAACAAAGGCAATCCATTACAAATGTGAGGAAGGAAATGAAAAATGTTTTATGATTTAGAGAAGGAAACTGCTTGGGATAAGAGTATATATTCAGAATATAATTTTGTGTTGTAATTTGATCATTGGAATTGAATATTTTGAAGTTTTTTTCAACTGATAAAAATATATTTTCTCTTTGTCCCACACACCCCATTATAAAAAATAAACGAGATAAACTAAAAACCCTTGTTTTTTGACAATAGACATAGTCAAGCAATACAAATTTCTACACTATTTCTAAAAAAATACTACGTCTCAATCTGCACCCTGAGTCCACTGCCTCTCTGTCAAGAGCAGAGTACAATTCTTCATCATTGCTCTTCTGGAATCATGGTTGGATCTTGCATTGATTCAAATTCTTGGGTTTTTTTTGGAGGGGGGGTGAGGTAGTCAGGGTTAAGTGCCTTGCCCAGGGTCACACAGCTTGTAAGTGTCAAGTGTGTGAGGCCGGATTTGAACTCAGGTCCTCCTGACTCCAAGGCCAGAGTTCTATCCACTCTGCCACCGAGCTGCCCCTAAAATTCTTAATTCTTTCAGTTTTTGTTTTTAGGCTGTTGTCACTATTGCTTAGTGTTCTCCTTGTTCTGCTCACTTCATTATGCATAATTTCATTACAAGTTTTCCCAGTTTCTCTAAAATCATCCTTTTCACCATTTCTTATGGCACAACAGTATTTTATTATGTTCACAAACCAAAATTCATTCATCCATTCTTCAAAACGAATCCCCTTAGTTTCCAATTCTTTGCTACTACAAAAAGAGCTGTGTACATATCTTTTACATTTATGGGTCTTTTTCCTCCTTCTTTGACCTCTTAGGTCTAGTAGTAGTATACCTGGGTCAACGGTATGCACACTTTAAGAACCTCTAGGACACAGTTCCAAACTGCTTTCCAGATTGGCTGGACCAATTCAAAGCTGCACCTATCTTTCCCATAGCCTTTCCACCTTTTGTTATTTTCCTCTTTTGTCACCTTTGCTAGTCTGATGAGTGTGAAGTGGAATCTAAAGGTTGCATTAATTTTCATTTACCTAATGATTAGTAATTTAAAGCATTTTTTCAAATGGTTATCAATGGTTTGGATCTTTTCCTTTGAAAAATTTCTTTGACTATTTCTCTCTGGGGATGACTTTGATCTTACCTTTAATTAGTTGAATCTCTTGGATTTGAGACTTTTATCAGAGAAATTAGCTGCAAAGATTTTCTTTTCCCATTTACTTATTTCTTTTCTAATGAAAATTTAAAAATTAACTCTCACAAGCCAGTTCAAGCTGCCTCCAGTAGAGCCACTCGACAAGAAAATCTTCTCTACATTAGTGTTTTTTTATAACCATTGCCATATTTAAAAAAATAATCCAGATAGAAAAATAATAGCTTATTAAAGAAGAGCAATGTCCCATTAGAAGGATACTTAGTGTAAGAGGTATTATATATACCCACAGTTTTTCCTAAGGGAGTTAGAGGTAGATGTGTTTGACAGGAAGGATAATAACTTCTACAGAATAAAATAGTTTCATTTCAAATAACTGACCAGAAAACCACATTTCTTTCATCTCATAAATTTTAAGAGCTCTTAACAAACCCTAAAAAAAATAGGAGAGAAAAAAATAGTAAGAAGCTTATCTCATGGCATGATCTTGTAACAGTTAAGGGAAAAATGCTAACTGGAGTACTAGATAAACTGGATTTCTAACTTTCTTGTTTAAGTTCTTTTGTTTTGTTCTTTTAGGCTTCTATCTCCAAAATCAGGTGTTTGATTTCTGGACCACAGAATCTGAAGCGCAACAGACCCTACTAATACTTAACACCTAAAAGTCATCTCAACTTTTTATCTATTGTACATACTATAATTTCTTTGTGCCAAAAAGTACTATGAATTTGATGAAACAGCCCATCTTTCTGAAACTGTAGTATAGCTTTATCTGATATTTCCAATATTCTACCTGAAGAACCAGGATTATTCAGCAGTGTTGCTTGGATATTCTTCACCAACAGTTTTAACTTATGAACCCTTGGAGGTTTAGGAGGGCACAAGTCCTGAGGAAGTGTTGAGGTATACCGCATATCCTGTAGAAGGAAAACAACAATAACAAAGGAACATTTACCCAAAAGAATGAGAGAAAACAGGTGGTTTTGACATTCTAACACCCTACCAAGATAAAATTATTGAATGAGACAAATATCCAGTCTTCAGTCCATAAATTATGCACACAAATGGTGAGAATCCCTTGCAAAAACATACAATAATAAACTTCATAAGAAAACTAAAAAGTTCCATAATAAGAATCAAGTAAAAGGCTAGAACATCGAAATCTTTACTGAGAAACTTCCTCTGCTAATTGAAACAATTTATCTGTAACTTACAATCTCAGAGAGTTGCTTGGGAATTTAAATGATTTGTCTATCATCATAAAGCCAGTACGTGTCACAAAAGCAAGAGATGAACTCATATCTTCCTGACTCCAAGGCCATCCATCAAAACATGATGAAAATACCTTTTCACTGAGTAATACGTAATGATGTTGTATAATTGTATTGAATAAAAAAGTTACTTGTGTCCTAATCACTACTTTATTACAAGGCAGTCAAAAGGACTGAAATCCAATAGGTCTGGAAGGCCTGGGAGTAAGAACAGGGGTTATGGGAGATGGGGAAATGCTATAAGACCATATGTAAATTTCCTATGGCAGATCAACAATGACCTTGAAGTTGGGGCAGCTAGGTAGTGGAATGCATAGAGCACCAGCCCTGGAGTCAGGAGGATCTGCGTTCAAATCCGGCCTCAGACACTTGATACTTACTAGCTGTGTGACCCTGGACAAGTCACTTAACCCTATTGCCTAGCCAAAAACAAACAAACAAACAAAAAAAAGCGACCCTGAAGTAATATCAAATATTAATAACAAAGACAAGATTTACCTCTACCTCTTTTATATCCACAATTTTTGTGCTTAAAACCATTGATGGGGAGACTGAACTAATTAGATGTTTCAAAATATCTCTGAAGGATTTGGATAGTTCAAGTGTCCCAAATATCTGATCCTAGGGAAAAAGGAAACATCATTATCAATATTTAAAAAGCAAAATAGGAAAAAAGTATGCAAAATATGCAACTCAAATAACCACAATATAGCTACAAAGTGAAATCGGGCATCAGATTTCTATTTGGGTCAACAATGATGTAGAATATAAAAATGTTATAATACAGCTTGACTTTATTTTTGAAAGGTTAAAAACGGTATTATAAAATTATAGAACTATAAGGGATCAAAGAAATCATGTTTATGGAAGAGGGAAAAGGGTACAGTGAAAAAGGAGTTAAATTCAGATTCACAAGACCTGGTTTCATTTTCTGGCTTTAAAAAAGTCACGATCTTTCTGGGTATAAATTTCCTCATCAATAAAATGAAAGGCTTGGAATAAATGACTTCAAAGGGTATTTTCAGGTTTAAATTGTAGAGCATCTTCTTTGTGATTATAGGTAACCCAAAAACAAAATGGGAAAACTCATAATTTTATTTTAAGTTGTTTCATAGATTTTGTTAATGTGAGGTCTGTAGCATATTTATTTCCAGGGATATCTTGTACAAAAGAAGTGACACAAAAGAATAGGTATAACTAGAAATGAGATGGTTTGGGATAATAGACACCTCAGACTCAGAAAAAGACAATGACATGCAAACATCTACATGCAAAGCCTAAAAGAAAAATGCAGATTGGAATCAAACCCAACCAGAATTCCTAGAAGAGCCAAAGAAAGATTTTTTTTAAAAGAACAAAAAATGATTTTAAGAATCAAATAAAAACTACAGAGGAAAAATTGGGGAAAGAAATGAAAGCAATGCAAGAAAATTATGAAAAGAAAATTAGCAGCTGGGTCAGAGCAGCACAAAAAATACTGAGGAAAAAAAAAGTTAAAAAACAGAATTGGCCAATTGGCAAAACAGGTACAAAACTTCACTAAAAAAAAAAAAAATCCTTAAGAATTAGAATTGTTCAAGTAGAAATTAATGACTCCATGAGATAACAAGAAACAATAAAACAAAATCAAAAGAAGAAAAAAAAGAAGAAAATGTGAAATATTTCATAAAAAATTGACCTGGAAAGTAGATCTAGGAGAGATAACTTACTATATATAACCTTTCAAAAAATATCAAGGAAAACTGCCTTGATATCTTAGAACCAGAGGGTAAAACAGAAACTGAAAGAAACCACCAATCACCTCCTGAAAGAGATCCCAAAATGAAAACTCCTAGAAATATTATAGCCAAATTCCAGAACTCCAAGGTCAAGGAGAAAATACTGCAAGCAGCCAAAAAAGAAATAATTCAAATATCATGGAACCACAGTCAGCATAACACAAGATTTACCAAGTTCTACTTTAAAGGATTGGAGGGCTTGGAATAATATTCTGAAGGACAGAGGAGCTAGGAAACCCAGCAAAACTGAGTATAATTCTTCAGGGGAAAAAATAAACATTAAATGAAATAGAGAACTTTCAAGCACCTGATAAAAAGAACAGAGCTGAATAGAAAATCTGACTTTCAAATATAAGACTCAAGAGAAGCATTAAAAAGGTAGAGATGAAACAGAAATTATAAGGTAATCAATAAGGTTAAAATGTTTACATTTGTATATGAAAAGATAATTGTAATTCCCAAGAACTTTTTCATTATTAGAGGAGTTAGAAGGAGTATACATAGACAGAGGGCATAGATGTGAGATGATTTACGAGGGGATAATTTAAAAAGATAAAATTAAAGAATGAGAAAGAGGGATGCACTAGGAGAAGGTGGAAGGGAGAGAAAGAATGTAGAAAATTATCTCACATAACAGAGGCAAGAAAGGAAGACATTTTACAATGGAAGGGAAGATGGGGGGTGAGGATGTCAGGCAATGCTTGAACCTTACTCTCATTGTAATTAGCTCAAAGACTGAATAGCATACATACTTAGTTGGGTATAGAAATCTATCTTACCTAAAAGGGAAATAGAAGGGGAAAGGGAAAAGAGAAAGAGCAAGGGGCTGATAGAAGAGAGGGCAAATTAAGGGAGGTAGTGGTCAGAAGCAAAACAGACTTTTTTTTAAAAGACTTTTGAAGAGAGACAGGAGAGAGAGGCGAGAGAGAGCAGGATAAATGGGGGCAGGGTGGGGAGAAATAGGAGAGAGGAAAATACACAGTTAATATATGTCAATATAAGTTAATAAATGTGAATCTGAATAAATGTGAGATGACCTCACCCATAAAATGGAAGTGGATAGCAGAACGGATTAAAAACAGAATCCAACAATATGTTGTTTACAGGAAACACATTTGAAACAGAGAGACACAGTAAAAATAAGAGGCTAGAGCAGAATCTATCATGCTTCAGTTGAGGTAAGAAAAAAAAGGTGTAGGAATCATGATCTCAGATAATGCAAAAGCAAAAACATACCTAATTAAAAGAGATAAATGGGGACAGCTAGGTGGCACCATAGTGCATAGAGTACCAAGCCAGAATTTAGGGATACTCATCTTCCTGAATTCAAATCTGGCCTTAGACACTTACTAGCTGTGTGACCTATGGACCATAGTACACTAGGTCCTTCTATCCTCCATTATCTCCATAGACATTCTTGTTGTACTCCTTTTCCAATCTTAAACCAATCTGTTCTTCTATGTTTGGTTCTAACTGATGCTTCTTGGCCCCCATACAAATTCTTCTGGAAACAAGTAGGACGATCTGGTACTCCCACTTCTTTGAGAACTTGTTACACTTTGTTGTGATCCACACAGTCAAAGGCCTTAGTGTAGTCAATGAAGCAGAAGTAGATGTTGATCTGGAATTCACTTGCTTTTTCCATAATCCAGAGATTGTTGGCAATTTGGTCTTTAGTTCCTCTGCCTCTTCCAAAAGCCAGCCTGTTCTTCTGATAATTCTTGGTTCATACAATGCTGAAGCCTAGCTGGAAAAATCTTAAGCATAGTCTCGCTGGCATGTGAAATGAGAACAATTGTTTGGTAATTTGAATATTTCTTGGCATTGCCCTCCTTTAGGATTGGGATGAAAACTGATTGGCCACAGTTAAGTTTTCAAAATATTGAGTACATTTTATGACATCATCTTTTAGTATTTTAAATAGCTCAGCTGGAATTCCATCACCTCCACTAGCCTTGTTGTTAGCAATGTTTCCTAAGGTCCACTTGACTTCAATCTCCAAGATGTCTGGCTCTAGATCAAATAACCATACCATTGGGGTTATTGGAGATGTTAAGATCTTTCTTGTATAGTTCTTCTGTATATTCTTGTCATCTCTTCCTCATCTCGTCTACTTAGGTTAAATCTCTACTACTTTTGCATTTTATTATGCCAATTTTTGCATGAAACATTTCCTTAATATCTCTAATTTTCTTGAAGGAAAATCAAAGAAGAGATTAATAAATTTGAAAGCTACAAAACCATTTAACTAATAAAACTAAGAGATGGTTTTATGAAAAAAAATTGGTTAATTTAGTTTAAAAAAAAAGAAAACCAAATTACCAATATAAAAAATGAAAACAGTGAAGTCACTACTAATGAGAAGGAAATTAAAGCAATTATTAGGAGCTATTTTGCCCAATTATTTGGCAATCTAAGTGAAATGGAGGAATATATAAATATAAATTGCCCAGATTAAAAGAAGAGGAAATAGAATACTTAAATAACCCCATCTTAGAAAAAGAAATTGAACAAGCCATAAATGAACTCCCTAAGAAAAAATCCTTAGGATCAGATGGATTCACAAGTAAATTCTATCAAATATTTAAAGAACAATTAATTCCAATACTATGTAAACTACTTAGAAAAATAGAGAAAAAAGGAGTCCTAATTAACATCTTTTATGGCACAAGTATGATGCTAATAGCTAAATCAAGAAGAGCAAAAACAGAACAAAAAAAATACAGACCAATTTCTCTAATGAATACTGATACAAAAAAAATTTAAAATATTAGCAAGGAGATTACAGCAATATATCACAAAAAACATATTATGACCAGGGGATGTACACCAAGAATGCAGAGCTAATTCAAAATTAGGATAATTATTAGCATAATTGACCATATCAATAACAAAAGCATCAAAAATAAATACAGAATAAATCAAAAACAAATACAGAAAAAGCTTTTGACAAAATACAACACTCATTCCTATTAAAAACATGAAAAAGCATAGGAATAAATGCAACTTTCCTCAAAATGAAAAGTAGTACCTATTTAATATCATCAGCAAACATTATCTGCAATGGGGATATGCTAGAAGCCTTCCCAATAAGATCAGGAGTGAAGCAAGGATGCCCATTATCACCTCTATTATTCAATATTGTACTAGAAATGTTAGCTATAGCAATAAGAGAAGAAGGAAGGAAATAGAATAGGCCATGAGGAAACAAAACTATTACTCTTTGCAGATGATAGGATGGTATACTTAAAGAATCCTGGAGAATCAACTAAAAAATTACTTGAAATAGTTAACAACTTTAGCAAAGTAGTGGGAAATAAAATAAATCACATAAGTCATCTGGATATCTATGTATTGCCAACAAAGTCCAGCAGCAAGAGATAGAAAGACAGATTCTATTTATAATAACTGTAGACAATATAAAATACTTGGGAGTCAACCTGCCAAGACAAACCCAGGAACTATGCGAACACAATTATAAAACACTTTTCACACAAATAAAGTCAAATCTCAACATCTTGAAAAATATTAATTGCTCATGGGTAAGTCGAGTCAATACAATAAAAATGATAATTCTATCTATTAATCTATTTATTCAATACCATACCAGTCAAACTACCATAAAAATTATTTTATAGCACAAGGACATCAAGGGAATCAATGAAAAAAAATGTGAAGGAAGATAGTTTAGCCATAACAGATCTCAAACTGCATTATAAAGTGGTGATTATCAAAACATTCTAGTACTGGCTAAGAAACAGAGTGGTGGATCAGTGGAATATATTAGATATATATTACATTATACTAAATGACCATAGTGATGTAGTATGTAATAAACCCAAAGATCCAAGCTTTTGGAACAAAAACTCATTATTTGAAAAAAACTGCTGGGAAAACTGGAAAACAGTATGGCAGAAACTAGGTACAGATCAAGATCTCATACCACATACCAAGGTAAGGTCAAAATGGGTACATGATTTACACATAAAGGGTAATACCATAAGCAAATTAGGAGAGCATAGAATAGTTTATTTGTCAGATCTGTGGTTAGGGGAAGAATTCAGGACCAAAGAAAATATAGAGAGCATTACAAAATGTAAAATAAATAATTTGATTATATAAAATTTAAAAATTTTTGCACAAACAAAACCAATGCAGCCAAAATTAAAAGGAAAGCAGAAAACTGGGGGGAAATTTTTTTTTTACAAGTATCTCTGATAAAGGCCTTATTTCTCAAATATATAGAGAAAGGAGTCAAATTTATAAAACATACAAGTCATTCCCTAATTGATAAATGGTCAAAGGATATAAACAGGCAGTTTTCAGATAAAGAAATCAAAGCTATCCATAGTCATATGAAAAAATGCTCTAAATCACTATTGATTAGAAAAATGCAAATTAAAACAACTCTGAGGTACCACCTCACACCTATCGGATTGGTCAATATGACAAAAAAAGAACATGATAAATTTTGGAGGGTATGTGGGAAAATTGAGACATTAATGCATTGTTGGTGGAGTTGTGAACTGATTCAACCATTCTGGAAAACAATTTGGAACTATGTCCAAGGGGCTATAAAGCTGTGAATTCTCTTTGCTCCAGAATACCACTGCTAAGTCTATATTATATCCCAAAGACATTTTTAAAAAAAGGATAAAGGACCTATTTGTACAAAAATATTTATAACAACTCTTTTTGTGGTTGTTAAGAATTAAAAATCAAGAGGATGCCCATCAATTTGGGAATGGCTAAACAAATTATGGTATATGATTGTGATGGAATATTATTGTGCTATAAGAAATGACAAACAATATGATTTCCGAAAAATCTGGACTTATACAAACTGATGCATAGTGAAGTGAACAGAACCAGAATGCTGTACACAGTAATAGCAATATTATACAATGAAGAACTGTGTAATGACTTACTATTCTCAGCAACACAATGGTCTAAGACAATCCCAAAGGACTTATGATGAAGCATGCTCTCTGCCTCTAGAGAAAAAACTGATACTGTCTGAATAAAGACTGAAGCATACTATCTTTCTTTCTTTCTTTCTTCCTTTATTTATTTCCAAATCTTTTTGTACAAAATGACTTATCTGGAAATGTTTTACATAGTTGCACATGTATAAAATAGATTGGATTACTTACCATCTTAGGGATGGGAGAGGTGAGGGAGGGATAGAATTTGGAACTCAAAATTTTTTTTAAAAAGTTTAAAAAAAGTTTTAATGTAATTGGGGACATAATAAAATATTATATTATAATTTTTTAAAAGAATGTAAGCTGAAAAAATCCATTTACATCTATTCTTTCAAGTATTCTGAATAAGAATGAGTGTTGTATTTTGTTAAAAGTTCTTTTTTGCATCTATTGAGACAATCATGTGACTTTTGTTGCTTTTGTTATTGATATGGTCAATTATGCTGATAATTTTCCTAATATTAAACCATCCTTGCTTTCCTGGTATAAATCCCAGTTGATCACCATGTATAAACTTTATGATATATTGTTGTAATCTCCTGGCTAGTATTTTATTTAGGATTTTTGCATTCATATTAATAATATGAATAATAATTAATAATATGAATAATAAGTCTATGATTTTCTTTCTCTATTTTTGCTCTTCCTGGTTTAGGTTTCAGCACCATATCTGTTTCATAAAAAGAATGGTAGGATTCCTTCCTTCTCTATTATTCCAAATCATTTATTTAATATTGGAATTAGTTTATCTTCAAATGTTTGGTACAATTCACTTGCAAATCCATCTGGTCCTGATGTTTTTTTCCTAGGAAGCTCATTTATGGATTGATCAATTTCTTTTTCTAAAATGTGTTTATTTAGATATTCTATTTCCTCTTCTATTAATCTAGGCAGTTTTTATTTTTATAATCACTCTTCCTTAATTTGTTAAATTTATTTTCATATAATTGGGCAAAATAATTTCTCTGATTTAATTTTCATTAGTGTTATATTCACTCTCTTCATTTCTGCTAGTAATTTGGTTTTCTTCTGACTGTGAGCTTCTTGATAGCAAGGACTATCTTTTGCCTTTCTTTGTATTCCTGCAGTTAGCACAATGAATGTTTGTTGACTATTTCTAAAGGTTTGGCAGTGAATGTGAGGATAGAAATGGAGAAAAGATTTTGAGAGGGTAGCTAAGAGAAGGGAAGTTATGATGCTCAAAGAACCCAAAGCTGAAAGCAGAGAGAACACTGGAGTCTTCCCCAATCTCTGCCCTAAAGAAGGAAGAAAAATGGTGAAATATCACATACACAAATCAGACATGCCCTTTTCTGTACAAAACTGGAAAGCTGAAAAGCCACCTTCAGACTTGCTACCCAATGAGTTAATCTGATGCAGACTTGGAAGATTTGCAGCATCATCAATCTCCAGACTTCCTGAGGACTGGAGAGAGTTTAGAAAACTACTGTCTGATGATTATGATCTCATCACTAACTTTGGAGGCAATGTCATCGGTCAAAAGCAAAAACAGTAAACACAGGAGTTGAAGGACTGATGACTGAAGAGATCTGCAAAACCCACTCTGAGATAGGTAGTCAGAGAGGTAGATAGGAATCAGAAATAAATAAAAGGCCAGAGACCCAAAATGAGGTTAATAAGTAATTAATAAGTAACTGAGGCTTCCTAATTTGAGAAATAATTTATAAGACATAGATCTGGACAAGATCTTAGAAATTATCTAAGTCAAGCTCATTTTTATAGAGCAAGAAATTGAGGCCCAAAGCTTAACTCCCAAGGTCACATAATTGCTATTACTTTGCATTCAAGACCCTTCCAGATACCAGCCCTGAATAAATTGGGAATGAAATCTTGACAAAATCATTCAAAGAAAAGAACAGAACAAAGTTATAAGGAAAAGTATTCTTGAACAAAAGGAAATAAACACGATTAAGGTTAAAAACACAAACTGAAAATCACATTTAATGTTTGTGGGCATTTCAGTTCATGGGGAAATAATTTTTAAAAGATGTTGGTTGAATAATTTCAAAAATATGTATTTAAGATCAAATTAGCTCTTATGTAGTCCTATATGTTGCAAAAGTATATATATTTACAATTATGTGATTATATATACATAACAAAGTTCCAGAGAAAGGCCTGTAGTGCATATAAGGTTTGGATATGATAAAGAAGTTTAAATTATATTGAAAACAGAAACAAAAACTAGGATTTATGCAAAGGTCCATTCAAATCAAATTATTTTCCCAATAAGCCACATTGAGTAGAAACAATAAAAAAGGAAAATAATATTTAACATTTACATAACAATTTCATATTTACAAAGTGCTTTACACATATTTTCTCATTTGATTTGATCCTTACAACAACTCTAGGACATGCTATTATTATCCCTTTTACAGATGAAGAAACTGAGGCTGAAAGAGGCTAAATGACTGCCCCAGAGACATATTGCATGTGTCTGAAGCAAGATTCAAATTCAGATATTTTTGACTCAGAATCTATGTTGCCAGGGGATTAGCAGAGTGAGTATAATGGAATGACAAAGATGAGCAATAAGTTAACCATAGCCTTAAAACCATGATAAAATAGATGGAGGCATCATGATATAGTAGATCAAATTCTAGATTTGGAATCAGGAGAGACATGAATTCAAATGTTGCCTTAAATGATCTCTATGACCATCAAAAAGCCAAAGAGTTTCCATTTTCTCAACTGTAAAATGTGAAAAATGCTTGTACTATCAACACCTACAGGACTTTTTAAAGAAAAATGCTTTCCAAATTTTAAAACACTAAACAAATGTGAGATGTCAACGATGATGGGAGAGAAGTCAGTTATGTTATGGATTAGGAAGGAAGGGACTGAGGGATTGAAGGTCACATTGAGGGCAAAGCACAAGTATATTAGACATTTTCTAATGCAATTTTCTATCACAGCAGCAGGACTGGTCCCTGGCTAAACCTAAGTTAGCTGGATAAGTATACATGAAACAGACATAGAATATCAGTCTACAAGTGGTGACATCTTAGCAGCATAATTCTGTGATATGAGATATGTTGAAAATAATAAAAACTAACCTCCTGTATTGCTTTAGGCTGGATTTTTATATTTATCTCTGAAGCTTTGAGGAAGGACCACTTTATCAATATATCTTCTCTTTTCTCTTTCATATGAAGTTCCAGCTATTAATAAAAAAACTGATTATTAGGATTTATGATTTTATGGTCACTGTTTTAACAAAAGTAGTTTTCAAATCACTAGTTTGGCTCCTCATAATACATTACAAAATTTGCCATGGAAAGAGGGAAAAAAAGATTATATTAAATATTACTTACATGGAATGGATACTTAATTTTTTTTTTACCACCTTCACCCTTCACATTCAATTAACTTCCAAATTGTGTCAACTGTACCTCTACATATCTCACATCCGTCCTTTTTCTTTTTCTCTATTTACATGGCTACCACCTTAGGTCAGGCCTTCATCATCTCTGCTCTGTTCTAATGCAGTAGGCACTTAAGTGGTCTCTTTGTCTCCAATTTCTCCCCCTTTTTAATCCACCCTCTTTGTTGAACTGAATTATTGAACTCTAGTCAAAAAAAAAAAATAGGATAAGAGAAATACTTGCTATAGGTTCATAATAACTTCCTATCATCATTCATCTTTTCCTATAAGTTAAAGTGATTGTGTAAAGAAGAGATATTTTAGTTTCATTAATGTAACACAATTAGCAAACAATCATACAAAAGGGCAGGTCATTAGGTATTAAAGTCTTTTGAAGACTAGTGTGATTTTTCATTACAAAAACACATGGGAATAGGACATCCTGGTGTTAATACTAAATCTTTGATAATTGCATGTAGATTAGCTATAATGCATATATTATATGTAGCCCACAAAATTCCAATCTGCAACAAAAATTATTAAGGCAGAGCTCCAAACATCATCAATCAATTTATTAGAGAGACCAGTGGTCCCTAATCAATTGGGTCCAAGACCTTCCTCACAGTCCAGGCCCCTGGTGCTCAGGGAAACTCCTATGATTGCCTAATCTTCAGAAGTGGAAGAACTCCCATGATTGGCTAAAGGCAATGTCCATCAATCATAACCACTTTGTCAGTAGGCCTTTCAAGGGTTATTAACTACAAGTCATCAACTATAGGCCATCTCATTGGGACTTTCCATGGCCCATCAAACATTAGTGTTTTTTTATATTTATATATTTATATATTATAAGAAGCAAAGAAATTGTGGCTTTGAAGCAAAGGTCATTAGGGAGTAGGTGACAGTGATTCACAGGTACAGAAGGGCAAATGAACCTCATTTCAAAGTACTACACTTGGAGTTGGGGGGGTTGAGGGGGTAATGCATTGATAATTCCTTACAACAAACCTAACTAATGAAGTGTGAATCTATCTGATAAATGAAATATAATTAATAGTATCATCAATACATGGTAGATTTATCAATCATAACTCTTATCCTGACAGCATTAACTAAAATAACTAACTCAAACTTAATTCTACTCTACTTAATTCACTAATACAATCATTGATACCCATGAAATCACATCAAATGAACTGAGTAAATGTTGATTAAATGGACTAGGGGTATCAAAATTATCTTCACATACATTTTTAAATTGTTTTGAACACCAGATATAATTGTATCACATTGATCTAAATCATTAAAATCATCAGAGGAAACTAAAAAAGGAAAATATAATTTCCAAGAATGTTGTTGCTCACAACCATGTGAAAACACAGAACATAATGAAATTTCCTAGCCAAATATGATAATTCATTCAAAATGTTCCAACCCTTTTGGAGCAATTTTCTAATGACTTGCATCTTGAAAGAAAAATATGTCATGTTCAAACTGCCCATGATCAAAGGGATCTCATTCCATTTGTCTCTCCCCAGGAAAGAATAACAAAATAAAGCTGGAATACTTGAAGAATAGGGAAGTCTAAATGAAAAATCTTTCTAAAATGTGTTTGTACACTTTCCTAACTTAATTAATACACAATATACTTTATTAAAACCATATTTCTTTGAAGAATGAAGTTCTTACAGTATCTTAGGGAAGCGTTTTATGACTCACAAGAACATTCATGTATAAGCAAGAAGTAATTGGATTGAATCTGTAACAGACCCAAAATATATCCTCAATGTTTTCTTTAAAAGAAATTAAGTTAATCTCTTGTAAGTTTTTCTTTTAAAATTTCCTCTTTTTCCTCAAATATGAGAACTTTAAAATTCCAGTTAATTGAGGACTTTAGGTAACTGAGCTTCTGCTGAATTAGAGACATCTAACTGTGCATATATTCATATTCTTATTAGTTTAACTTCTAAGTATAGTCTTATGATAGTACAAATTTGAAAAGATATTGGAGACATCACGGTACAACTAAAAGAACACTGGCTCTGGAATCAGAGGACTTGAGATCAAATCAGCTTCTGATATTTACTACCTGTGTGACCTTGGCAGGTCACTAAACCTCTTTGGCCCTCAGTTTCCACATCTATAAAATGAGTCTGTCGGACTAGATGTGGCCTCTGAGGTCCTTTCCAGATCAAAGATTCTGTGAATAAGAAGGCATATGAATTAGTAATGACTGACGTCCTCCCTATCTGAATTTTTTAGGAGGAAGGGAGGGTAATAATACTATCTATGATTTTTCCAACTCTATATATCTTTAAATTTTATTCATTCATTTTCAGAATTGTGTCACCTCTACCCCTGATTTCATTTGTATATACATGGTCTCATCTATTTGTTCTTTCCAACTTAATTTTCTTGAGGTGATTTCGACTTTCTCATCTAGCACACTGGGAATTTAGGAGTTGAGATGAAATGTGGCGATTTCACTGTCACTGGAAATAAGAAGAGTTCAATATAAAAGGTCTGCAGATCTCTTCCCTTTCCGTGTCAATTTGTTGCCTTCCCTCCAATTTTATTTATAAATGCTCCTGGGATGATCTGACTTAGTTGAGGCTCAAGCCAGGCTTATTCCAGAACTGTTTTCCTCTCCAGTACCATTTTGTACTGTTTTGTGAGGTGACACAGTTACATCTATATCTGTAAAATAGCTCTTTTAAAAAGATACATGTAAAATAGCTCATGCCCTACTTAAAGCCACATTAAAGCCCTACTTAAAGCCAGTTTTTTTGGGAGGGGAGGTTGGTTTTTTTTTTTCTGGTGGGTTTTTTTTTGGTGTTTTTTTAAAATGGATATATGATACATTTTATATGGTACATAACACATATTAGACAATTTGCGATGCTTTCCTTTCATTTCACATAAAGGAGGTATGGTTTGGGAAGGTTTCATGGCAAGTTTTCATGATATGAAAAGAAAAAACACTAAATTTTACCTGTAAATGAAATGGAGATAGCTGTACATCATATGACTGACATTTTGAAGCATCAGATGAGGCTGAGAGCACATGAACAATAAATTGAATTGAATCTCCTCCAACATTACAGGATACCACCTGGGGGAAGAGGGAGGAGGAAGCATTTAATTAACATTTTAAATATAAAAAAACTTTATAGAGCAATAAAAATCTTATATATATATATATATATATAATTTACATAAACTTTTTTTGTTTGCCAGAATTCCACAGCTAGCTGTGAGTTTAAATTTTCTAATCTGATTAAATATCATAGAGCACTTGAAAATCTGGAAACAGTATTCTAAAATGTCCTCTAACACAGATTAATTTTTTCCCAGAAGTTCAACATGGTGATTGTCAAATCAGTTGTTTTGATCCTTCTTCCTTTAGACACACTTGAGAGCATTAAGTTTTCCCAGTCAGTAAGTCAATAACTCAATTAGTCAACAAGCATTTATTAAGCATCTAGTATGTTCTGAGAACTTTATTAAGTGTTAAGGATACAAAGAAAGACAAACAAAGCAGCCCCAAGTCTCAAGGAGCTCACAGTCTAACTCGGAGATAAAATACAAACAATTACGTACATAAGCAGAGAGAAAGCATTAGCATTTCCTGAGATCAGGTAAGGCTTCTTGTAAAAAGTATGTTGATAGCTGGCACTCGAAAGAAGCTAGGAAAACCACAAGTTAGATATGAGGAAGGAGAGCATTCCAGGCATCAGGGATAGCTAACTAAAATGCACAGAGTTAGAAGCTGGAGTATCTTGTGTGAGAAACAGCAAATAAGCCAGTATCACTGGACCACAAAATTAGGGGTTGGGGGTGGGGAGGGTGTTAAAGTATATAAGAAAACTAGAAAGGTAAGAAGGGGTCAGATTGTGAAGAACTTTTATGCCAAACAAAGGATGAATGGGGGTGGGGTGACATGGTGAGACCCGCATTTTAGAAAGATCAATTTGACATCTAAATAGAAGACAGACTGGAGTGGGGAGAGATTTGTAGCAGGGAAACCACCCAGAAGGCTTTGCAATAGTCCAGACATGAGAGGATGAGAGCCAGTGCAACAGGGTGATGGCAGGAGTGGTGAATCAAAGCTAACACCTAGGTTGCAAACCTGATTGACTGGAAAGATGTTAATTCCCTTGACAATAATTGGAAAGTTAGAAAGAAAGAAGCATAGAGTGGGAGAGAAAATAACGAGTTCAGTTTTTAGACAAATTTACTTCAAAATGTCTGTGGGACATCCAATTCAAGATAGCTAAAGGCAGTTGGAAATGCAAGTTTGGAGGTTAGGGAAAAGTTTAGGGTTGGTTAAGTAGATCTGATATTAACACTCAATAAAATCTATTAGTCGTATATGCTTTCCAAAAAGAAGTGCTTCAGATCTGGAAATCACATTTATAGCTGTTACAGAATTAATTAATTCAGAATATAAGCAATTGTTCTTATGTTGAACTTACACATCATCCTTGTTACAAGTATATATTTGGAGAGAGAAAACAAGGAGGAAATAAGAAGGTAAATTGAGATGAGCGATAGCATGGGAGTTAGGGGAAGAGGGTAACTACCATGATTTATAGGTATAGAATATCATGTTTAAAAAAAAAGCCCTAGTAGAAGCCTAAGAATTTAAAACTTAAAGTTATTAAGCATGTTATATAATGAAGGAAAAAAGAATAATTCCAAAATTAACTTATTTAAGAGAACAACATCATAAAATGTGAATCTACTACAATAAAATTAAATTGTTAAATCAAAGTACATATGTGAACCTTGAAGGATTTAGAATTTTTTTATTATTGCTAGTGACAGATTACTGAGAAATATGTACCTATAATGTAAATTCAACCAATAAATAAGCATTTATTGTTTACTATCATTATCAGTTATTACTAGAGAAGAATTGTTTTAATACTGGGAATATAAAGTCAATAGTGAAACAGCACCTGGCCTGAGGGAGCTTACATTATCATGGGGATGAACACATGTACATATAAGTATATATTTTATATACAAAATCAACACAAGGTAGTAGCCAGGAAGACATCTTCCTGAATTAAAATCTGGCTCCAGACACTTACCAATTATATGATCCTGGGCAAGTCACTTAACCCTGTTTGCTCCAGTTTCCTCATCTGTAAAATGAGCTGGAGAAGGAAGTGGCAAACTACTCTAGTATCTTTGCCAAGAAAACTCCAAATGGGGTCACAAAGAGTCAGACACAACTGAAAAAATGCCATTTTTTCATTTGCCATTACTCAAGTTTCCTATCTGACTTATACCTCTCCCTATACTTCCCTCCTATCTTTGTTCTTTGCTCTCATTGAGACCTCCATTCCTTCCATCCTTAAGTACTTTCTCAGAGCATTACCCCTTCTCCCTTTTCAATCTCAACTCAATAGTTAGCTATTTCAACTCTACATTATCAACTTCTCTTGAATGTCTTCCCCCTTCTCCCACTGATGATCTCCTGTCAAAGCTCAGCCTTGAATTACTCCCACCATCTACTTCCTTAACTCCCAATCATGAGCTACTAAGTGAAGCTAGAGAAAATCCCACAACCATTTCTAGGTACATTAAAAATTTATGTAATCCAACCTCAATTTGTGGCAACCAAATAGTCCTTTTATTCCTCCCTAATTGTTTTCCTAACTCCCTCCCCACACAAGCTATTCCAAATATTCTCTTCCTTCTGGAAGCTTTCTCACACTTCTTCATCCCTTCCTCTCAGATAAGGGCCTCGTCTCTTACTTTGCTGAATAAACTGAGGCCATTCAATGTGAGCTTTCTCTTCTCTCCTTCTCATCTCAAAACCCCATGACTCTTTCCTCCCTTCACCGAGGCTCTGATAATGAGACACTTCTTGCCAAGGCCAACTCCTATAAATATGCACTTGATCCCATCTTCTACTGTTTTCTCTAGCAAACTGCATCTTTAACCATCCCCTCTTCCCTTGAATCTTTAACCTCCAACAACTGATTCATTCTCTACTACCTTTTTTTAAAAAGGCCAAGTTTCTGCCATCTTTAAAAAACCTGCACTAGACCCTCTCCCCTCCTTCAAGATACAATACTATATTTCTCTGCCTTTCAACTCCTTGAAAAAGTTGTCTACACTTGTCTCCACTTCCCCTTCTCTTACTATTCTCTCACTGACTCCTTTGGAATCTGGTTTTCAATCTAATTATTCAATGGAAACTACTCCTTCCAATGATTCCTTCATTAGTCCTAATCCTTGATCTATCTGTTGCATTTAACTTGCAAACATTCTTCCCTCTTGGAGTTCTTGTCACACTCTTCTTGTTAGTCTCCAATCTATGGGACCATTCCTACTCAGACTACTCAACTGGCTATCATTATCATAAGAGAACTTTTCATTTCTTTTCTACTGGCTCCAGTATAGCTGTTTTGTTTTTAAGGAAAGTGAGGTAGCCAAGTGAAGCTTTTTCTTTTTGTGAAATTTGGCACAGACCTAAAAATTTAACCCAGGTGATTAACTAGTTAATGATACAAGAATTTCTGGCTCAGTTTTATTTCTTCATGATGAGTGTTTCCTGACTAGTTGTAAATTCCAGAACAGATTCTCTAGTGCTTACTGATCAATTTACAAATTTATCCAACAGAGACCTTCCCTTTCTAATATCAGTTCTTTGGTGTGTAAATCTGTACCTTTTCTGTTATGGAACTGGATAATGAGAAGCAGCCAATTGCATCCACAAGCCCTAGATGCATTTTGGAAGAGGTGGACCCTTCAGGTCACCAATGAAGGAGCAGGTTGTGAGTTAAATGGGATCATAGTTGCAGTTAGGGGCTTCATGGTTAAATGCATTATAGCTGCAGTCAGGGGCAAGAAATTCATAAAATATTCTAGTTAAATCAACAATGATGTATGGTAAGGTAGGGATTTACTCTGTCTTGGTTGAACATTTACCCATCCTGCTACTTCAGTCACATACTGCATGTTTCAGCCCACTTTCCCCTTAAGCAGTAAACAGTAAAAGAACATATAAATAGCTTATGACCAAAGCCTCAGAAAGGAAATATCCCCCAAGGCCTGCTGACCCTGGCAAGGTGCTATGGCAAGGTCTCTAGAAAGTAAATATCCTAATAAAGTTTGGATGTATCACTTTGGTTTTGTGTGCCTTTGATGCAATGGTTGCTTTGGTGTCCCAGTCTCCAACACTTCCCTTTTGCCTTCTGTAAAAACTCCAACTATATCCATCTTGCCCTGTCCTATATAATAAGATGCCTACTAATGCCACTCATGGCCCATTAGGTTTGGTTTTTTTTGTTACCCTAAGACTATGCTCTAGCATATCATAAACCAGTTATAAAATGCCTCTGCAGGTTGATAAGTATGACTGGCAGCAGCACCTATCAATGAATATCTGAATAATTTAATATTATCATCCATATCAAGACCCTTAACTTTGGTGTGAGCCAAAGAAAACTAGTTTGACTGGTATGGTCCCAGACTCCCAGGATGCATGTACACGAAGACTAATAAACCTAAAGACTTGACATTGTCCTCTTTGGACTTCTTTCCAGATGACATAGTTAGAGTTAAGTTCCTTATGTTCCTGCCCCTCATTTCTCTTGTTTTATTAGCTAATTTAGAAAACATCCTCATTTCTCTGGTCCTAACCATTTTCCTCTAGGAATAACTCTTGGTGCCAGTTGGCTCTTCGTCTAAAACTCTGTATAAGTTGGAGCCCTATGGGTCTCTGGGACTTCAACTGGAGCATAAAAGCCACTGCAGTGGTTCCACATCAAGACGCTACCCCACAGTGGCCTTCAGCCAAGTGGACTCCATTACATTGTTTGCACACCCAGAAATGTTTCACACTGATACTGTTATCCTCTCCTTGTAAATAACACTAAAGTTTTGTTGACTGCTATCTCTATTTGGTTCCACTGCTCTTCATTCAAACTCTCCTACATTACATGTGGGTATCCACCAAGGTTTTATCCTATGCCTTCTTCTCTCCCCTTTCTATCCATTCTCTTTTTTTAAAATTTTTATTTTTTTATTTTTTTTGGCTAGACAATGAGATTAAGTGACTTGCCCAGGGTCACACGACTAGTAAGTATTATGTGTCTGAGGTCAGATTTGAACTCAGGTCCTCCTGAATCCAGGGCTGGTGCTCTATCCACTATACCACCTAGCTGCCCCCTCTATCCATTCTTGATAACCTCATCAGCTCCCATTAGTAACTATCATCTCAACACAGATGACTCCCAGATCTACATAACTAGCTCTAGTCTTTCCCAGGTTTTCATCTCTTGATATCAATTGCTTATTAAATACTTCAAACAAGTTGTCCCAGAGACATATTAAACTCAACTCAACATGTTTAAAACCGAGCTCATTATCTTTCCCCATAAATCCTTCCCTCTTTCAAACTATCCTATTTCTGTCAAAGGCACCACCACTCTTCCTGTCTCCCAAGTTCATAATCTCAGCATCACCCTCAAATTCTCCCTCTCCCTCATCTCACTTATCCAATCAGTTGCCAAATCATTGTCATTTCTAAAATAAATAAACTTGTATTACATGTCTGCTGTGTCAGGCACTGTGTTTTATAAATATCATTCAATTTTTGTCAATCAATCAATACTTATTAAGTGCTTACTATGTGCCAGGTGGTTTGCATGGACATTCAGGGAAGACTAGTACCTTTGGTGTGAGGGCTGCTTTCTACCTTTGCTGTCCACCTGATTCAACCAACTCTCACCTGTGGCTCCAAGAAGCCGTAACACGTGCAGTGGCCTCACCCCAGTAAACTGTTTTGGCAGACAGGCTAAACCAGGTTGAGAGTAACTGAGCAGTCTCAAACCCTTTAATGAGTTACAGGAGTGTCTACCCCAAGCATATGAAGACTTCCCCCAGCAGAATGGACAGATGAGAACAATTTGTTCCAATAGCCATGAAGGCAGCTGAAGCAGGTGCTGTGGAGTGCTTAGAGTTTGGTTAGACATCAAAGACACCAAGGTCATCCACTGCATCCCGAGTCATCACCAGTCATCTTGACTTTTGTCTTGCCATTGCACTTCAATGATTCTAGAAGAGAGAGGGAGGCTGATGACTTCACGCAACTCTGCCTCACTTAAATGCAGTTTATGAGTCAAACAACATCAGTCATACTACTTTACTATTTTTACCTATGACAGGCAAGTGACGAAGCAGCAGGTATGGATATACTAGGAACTGTAGTCACAACCCTGCACACGGACAGCTCAGCCCATAGGTTCGTCTTCTCATTAGACTGAAGCAGCAACGGGATTCGGCAGCCCCTGGGTATCTGAGCAGCCTTTTTGAAGGGCCACACTGATCATTTCCTATTGTGAAGAAGGGACTAGAAAAGATGCCCTAAAAATTGTCTGCTTCACTTAACCTAACTCTGGACTGCTTATTGTGATAGGCAGGAATTCTACTCTGTAGTCAAAACACAAAAAAAGTATAAAAACTTTTGCAAAGATGATTCTACTCATCATTGGTACATAGAATGTGCACATACTTATAGACAACATGAAGTCCAGTAGACCTGAAAGATGAACAGTTCTTGTTGCAAGAGAACTCAGCAGGTATCACATCCAAATAGCAGCTCTGTGTGAAACAAGGTTGGCTAATGAAAGCCAGCTCAGCAAAGTCAGAGCTGCATATATGTTTTTCTGGAGTGGCTGCAGTTATGGGGAGTGCCATGAAGCTAGCGTAGCTTTTGCAATCAAAACTAATCTATTCAACAAACTTGTATGCTGACCAAAAGGAGTAAATGATAGGCTCATGGCAATGTGATTGCCACTTGTAGAAGAGCACCACGCTACCATCATCAGTGCATAAGTTTCTACCACAACAAACTCTGATGAAGTCAAAGAAAAATTTTATGATCAGTGTGCCAAAAGAGGACAAGCTTGAAATTCTGGGTGACTTTAATGTCAGAGTAGATACAGACTATGAGACATGGCAGGGAGTCCTTGGGAGGAATAGTCGGAAATAGCAACAGCAATGGCAATGGTCACTTACTACTGAAGACTCTCATGACCTTCTCATCACCAATACTGTCTTCCATTTACCTAAGCATAATAAAAATTCTTGGATGCGCCCTCAAAGAAAACAATGGCATTTAATAGATTATGTCATTGTAAGGAGAAGAAACAGATAAGATGTGAGAGTGATGAAGGCAAACGTGTGGCACAGAGGACTGGACTGATCATAGACTTATCCTCTCTAAGGTAAACGTTCAAGGCAAGATGACTACCAGAAGACTTACTGTCAATAGAAAAGGAAAGCTCACACCACATTGGCTAGTTCTTCAATGGAGTATTTATGAAAGATAAGGGACAAGAGTCATTTAGGATGAGAAGGCATAAAATGAAACATTGGATTTTGAATAAAATCCACCTGAGGCTCAACTGTTGATAGCAAAAATATACTGTAATAGCTAGAAAGGTCGAATCTCTAGATTATTCAGAAAATGTCTTTGTAAGTTTTTTTTTTCTTTTTGCTAGGCAATGGGATTAAGTGACTTGCCCAGGGTCACTCAGTAGTAAGTGTCAAGTGTCTGAGGCCAGATTTGAACTCAGGTCCTCCTGACTCCAGGGCCAGTGCTCTGTCCACTGTGCCACCTAGCTGCCCCCAGAAAATTTCTTGATGCAAGGTTTTTGCATCAAGATTCAGGGTTTTTTTTTTTTCAGTAATGGTAAATAAAAATAACCTCAATGTCCAGCTTTAACAAGATATTATGGCTTACCTTCTGGACAGACTTGACAACATTCACAACTGGTTGAACTGCTAGCTCTAATGGCTTTTGAACTTGGTCCTCTTCAAATGTAAGAAATAATGGTCCCTAAAACAGGAAGAAGAGGAAATATGGCAATAAAGTATGATATTACCTTTTAAAAAAAAAAGAAAATATATATTTTAGCTCTTTCAATAAATAAGATTTGTTTATATAATAAACATTTCCCACTCTATCTCGCTATATTACAGCTCAATCTAAACACAAATACGCTTTTGGCTAAAGCCCCAAATTAGTGTATTTTCTACTTACAGACAAGGCAAATCCCCAGAAATTAAATAATAAAGTATACTAACAAACTTAACACAAGAAAATCCATGTAATAAAACCATAACTTGTCATCAAATTCTTTTGTCTGTCTTTTTCACTTTGCTTCACAAGTCCACTCAAAAGGTCCTTTAGGCAGACACTGACAGGCACTTCCTTACTCTTCCCCAAAAAGGGAGGGCTGGAGGTTGGGGGAAGGGAGAGGAGGAATTGCATAAGGAGTCCTCTGGTGACATTCTTGCTGTCAGAGCACAGTCCTCATTCTCTCCTACGTTTAAATCTAGGGTGCCTCTAACTTGAAGCTGTATTATTAATTACGACAATTATTGTCAGTAATGCTTTGTAGAAGGTCAGATATATACAAAATTGGACATGAGGGAATTATGGAAAGATAGAGGAGTGATAGGTAACCTAGCAGAATTCTTCCTATTCCACTCCAATACCCCTGTAGCAAATAAATATGAAAAGAGTTCCCAAATGCTGTAAACTCAGCCAGGACAAGAAGGGAACAATTAAAAAACCCATCACAAGGTAAATCTAGAGAAAATAATAGCTGAAGACCAATTTAAAAGCCTATCCTGCTACCACAGACCTGTGCACAATTCTACCCTATGATCTCTGTGACTATTGTCATTTTTGGCACCTGACTTTTGAAATTAAGCCCTTTTCAATTTTCCTAGTAAGCCCTCAGTCCTAAGATAGATGGATATGTCACCACTTCAGCATGGTCCCATTGCTTCCAGCCTCCTTTAGCCATTCCTAAAGTCCCTTTGCTAGCCCAGAGCCACCTGCATGGCTCCTACCACTTTGAACACCCAGGTTGGTTTGGTTTTGTTTTGTTTTGTTTTTTAAATATTGTGACCTCAACAAAAGTCAAATTGCCTTATCCAAAAAAGAAAAAGAAAAAAAAACAGAAAAAGAGTATTGCATACTATATACGGTGAATTCCCACAATGGCAGGGCACAAAAGCACTAGGCCTTTTAAAATGTGGTAAACACATTTCCAGTAAAGACATCATAGAGAAATAGCATTTTTCAAGGAAAAGGTTGATCTCAGCGGATGAATACTTTGAAATAAAGGAATTTGAGTCACAACTTCCTGAGGTAGGGGAAGATAGACTAACATATTCTGCAAGGTGCCCTGAAATGACAATGGAGCAACTTAAAAAGTGGCTCAGAAAATCAGTAAAAGAAATAAGAGAAAATAGTAAAGCAATAATAATAGAAATTAGCAAGTTCAGTCAAAGACTAGAGAAAGACAAAACCAGTAGGTTCTCCAAAAAAGAAGATAACAGAACTTGAAAGCATACATAAAAAAGGACAAATAATGAGACAAATTAAAATAAGTGTGGAAGAACATAGGACAGCTCTACCATACAAGAGTGCTGAAGGTAAAGTTACAGTGCGAAGAGATCAACTAAAGATTATAGGTCTTCCAGAAAATATCACAATAAAGAAAACCTGAATATCTTGATCCAAGGAAACATGCAAAAAAATTGCTGAGAAATAGTGGGAACAGACAACAAAGTTCAGATTGAAAGAATTCTTTTCCCCAAAAAACAACAGAAACCCCAAGAATAAATCAGCAAGAAACAATGAACTCAAATTTCAGGAATTCCACATCATAGGTCAAATCTTATATTCAGTAAGGGACCAAAAAAAAAAACCCTTTAAATTCCAAGGAGAAACAATAGCATCACTCTACGTTTATAAGAAATCAAAGGAAATTGAAATATAATATTTGGAAAGCAAGGGCATTTGCTAACACCCTAAAATAACACATCCTACACAGTAGAACCTGAACATATTCGATAGATAGATAGATAGATAGATAGATAGATAGATAGATAGATAGATA